AGAGTATTTCTTTTTATAAGTTGCTTCGTTTTAGTAACATGATTTGCTTCTTCATCGTGGAATATTGGAATTTTTATATTAAATGTGGACTGTCTCCAATAGTATCCATAAACTTGCTTTTTCATTAACTAGAATAAAAATTTTTGGGTTACATTAAATTGTTGAAGAGAGTTAATACCACTTGATAGAAGTAGGGTTTGTTGAAGAGAAAGTTAATACCACTTGATAGAAGTAGGGGTGGCAATGAGCCATGTTTTGGTCGGGTACCTATTACATACATATCCATGTACAGTAAGACGTAAAGCTATCCATAACCCAATTCGAGCGCACTAAGAACTAATTGTATGTCTAAACTTGATCCATTGTATTTGAATTCAGATTGTCTCTTGAATACATATCGAACATGTTCAATATTTTCACAATTTAGTTAGTATAAATAAAAACAAATCTATTATTTACTGAAGTTGGTTTTCGCTCTGCCAAGTCGACTTATCAGGTCTGATAAGTCGACTTATGATCTCTTCTCCAGTTGTTGTTTTTCGCTCTGCCAAGTCGACTTATGCAGACTGTTAAGTCGACTTATGACGGGTTTTTTGGAAAGTTAGAGTTCCTATTTGCAGTCTGTTTGGGTTTCTGTTTTGGTATAAATACCAATACGATTTGAGGGTTTTGTAGGAGAAAATCTGGGGATTTTGGAGCACAGAAAAGAGAGATCTTTCTGAGCTATTTGTTAGGGTTATTGGTTGAGAGTTTGAGAGATTTGTTGGTGAGATTAGTTGGTTCGTTTGAGCGATTTGTAATCTCAATTTGTACTCTCCTTCTCTATTAGTGAAAACCCACCCCCCTTCTTGCCCCGTGGATGTAGGCAATTGCCGAACCACGTAAAACTTTGGTGTTTGTGTTTTGTTTGGTCTTTCTCTCGGCGTTTGTTGGTTTGGTTTCTCAAAGCATCATAGTTGGTTGTTTGTTTGGCTTCCGCGCCGTGCACAACAAGTTTATGGGCACCGAAAATTTTGTTTGCATAGTGAAATTATATTATACTATTATTGCATAGTGTTTTTCTAAACACTATAAATAGACCCAAAACTCTTAAGAAAAAATTCATCCAGAAACAACTCCTCTTATACAAGAGTGAGAGAAATAAAAAATAAAGAGTTTTTCCTAATATCAATGAGAGAGTTTGTGAGAATTCTTGGAGTGTATCTTGATGAAGAAAGGGTGTTCTCTTTGATATAATTCTTTTAGAATATAAAAGAACCGAGCGTCGTCGTTGCATGTGGAGTAGCTCCATAAGAATGAACCACGTTATATCTATGAGTATTATGATTGAATTTGTGTTTTTATTTTGTGATTCTAAAATTGTTTAGGTGTGTATTGCGTCTCCGTTTGAGGCGTTTTTATTGACGTATATCCTAACATTCTTTGCCCTTTTCTTAGTTTAGTCCGCGCTGACCAATTTTGATTTTGTGACAAAGATGATAGTGATATTTGAACTAATTAGTTCATTTATCTGATAAAACATTGTTTAC